ATTTTCATGTTTTGGCTAATAATAGGCTTGAAGCAATCAGCAAGTAAATATTATTCATATTCACATATTGTTTTGTAATATACTATGTGGGTTCAAACATGCTTTCTCCAGTTTTGTCAACCAAGTGGCAAGTGTAACCCAGTATTTACTATGTGTTTATTCAAAATTTGAATTGTTGATTTTAACTAATATTTGACGGAATTGAAATGAAATAATTCAATATATAAAACCTCTCGCGCGCAAATTCAAATTTAGCAATAGCAGACAGCCACAACAGGCTATAACAGCCACAAGATAAAATGAGTAAATACGGTCGATGTACGTTATAATTATACGATGTAAACAGTAATATTTCATACCTGAGATCAATAAGCCTTCGGCAGGATTCGGAGTCACTTATCCAGAACCAAATATGATAAAAAACACGATATTCTTGAGCGAAATATGCTCAAACGAAAAAGTCGAAAATTTGTAAATCACACTTGATACTTGATATACGATATCCCACAACTCATTGCGCGCGTGGCCCTTGTCTTCTAAAATACATACACCAAAAAGCGCTCCCAATCTATCGCTAGCTTGAAACTATAGGAAGCATTTATAATCTGGCCAAAAAAATGATTATAAAAAAAATGATGAAAATTCTTATAAGCGAATAATGAGACATATTTTCTAAAAAAATTATATACCAATTGACCATTTGCGTAATAGACTAAATTTTGAACTAAACAAGTTTAGACAAAAATTTCATCACAGCTCGAAGGAGCATCACAATATTAGTAATATTCCAGAGTTTCGTTGCAAAATGTTGTAAAATGCGGAAAATATAGCCTAGCGAAATTTGCAATTTTCAGTCATTTTCGGATTACAAACGGGAAATTGACAGCCCCAAACCCTTCGAGGCTGTCAATTTCCGATTTGTAATCTAAAATGACTGAAAATTGCAAATTTCGCAAGGCTATATTTTCCGCATTTTACAACATTTTGCAACGAAACTTTGGAATATTACTAATTTTGTGATGCTCTTTCAGGCTGTAATGAAATTTTTGTTGAGATGAAAATTTAGTCTATTACGCAAATGGTCAATTGCAATAATATAAAATTTTTATCGTTTAACGTATCGCATGTCATAACATTTGACAGCATTAACCGTGATGTCATAACATGTCGGTGATATTTACGCAAAATCTTGGGTAAATTTACACTTCATTTTTTTGCGGTGGATCATACCATCTTCATTAAAGCGTAGATAGACGATTGTTGCAAATGATTTGAATTCATATATAATTGTTATTTTTCAATAGCAGCAATTCATTGGGCATATTCAAATTCATTGTGATATCCGCCATGTTGAAACTGCGACAATTCAGGACAGAGCCGTTCATCTTCAAATTTGACAAAAAAGTGAAAGATATACAATATTACAATTAGGTTTATTCAATTCAATATCATATCTCGTTTTAGCCATGCAAAAGTTGCCAAAAGAAAGGTTTTGATATATGCGATAAATAATATTAAACTTTATTTCAAGATTGTTTTTCTAATTATAAGAATATTATTCTAGGATGGAAAAATGTTATTCTTAAAATAAGAAAAAAATTCTCTCAAATATTCTTGCCCAGTTATATTTTCTTATTTTAAGATTTTTGTTCTTAAAACTAGATTTTTTTTCTTGAAATATTTCTTGATAAGAAATATTTACTTAAAATAAGAAAAATAATCTAAAAAATAAGAATATTATTCTAGACTAGAATTTGATTTTTGCAGTGAACATAAGTACACATGTAACACAAAGAACTATAATAATTACCTATAGTTAAAATATACCAAGTATAATCAGTAACAATACACCCTTCCGGAAAGTGCTCATGATGATGCAGTTTCGTCTATATATAAGGCCTCGTTTTCGCATTGGGTTTAGCTAGAGCCCCTTATCTTGTTACAAGTGCTACCCAGGTGATACCTGTTCTGAACTGTTCTCATGAGAGATTAAGGCATATATCCGTCACTAGTTCACTGTTATTTCAGAAGGAAACGAAAATAGCCAGAACCACCAGACCAACAAGCATTTCGATAATTGAATGTACACTGTGTAGATTACAGAAAGCTTTCTATTTTCATGCAAACAGGATATTTTTCATAATTTTACCACACAGGCCCCGTATTCAAGTACCAAACACCCTTGTCAATGTCCGTTCAAAACTTGTTGGTCCAACATTATCCTAACAATGTTAATCTGTTTGAAATGTTTTGTAATGTTGAGTAAATTCGGAAGACATCTGCAGGTTGACTAATTCCAAATTTGATCCAAAACCGTTTAACCTTGTTTGACCAAAAGTGTTGGATATTGGAACTGCGATCGGGTATTTGAAGTTAAAGTTCTGGAACTCTGAACATTAAATTACGGATGTCCGCAGCAGAACGTAATCAGTTTGCAACACCGGAATAAATCAAGTCCAACAAAGTGATTTCATTTCCATTATAGGTCAGTTACAAATGATGATACTATAATTTTGCATAAATTTTCCCACAATGATGATACCATAATTTTGCTTTTCCTTGTTTTCCAGATAAAAAATTATTTTTTTAAAAAACTACACACGAGGAATAAAATAAGTGGTCTTATGCGATTCCTGCATGTGTCAGGGTGTGCATGCATGACCACACTGATATAATTGTTGAGTTAAAGCCAAGGTTTAATTACCCAAAGCATTTGGTGATTTGGGTGGGTAAAAATTTATTTTTATAACGCTGGAGCTACTTACTGCCATTTTATATATTAACAGAAAGAGAAATGATTCTTTTAACAAGTAGAAAACAAGCGGTCCTGTGGTTCCTCTGCAGGTTGTGACCACTAGTTGAGTTTAATTTAGAAGAATCATGGATGTACTATTATAATCTTATATATATATACTGTATTTATGCTTGACTATTGTGTATTTCTATGGAAATGCATGTGTTCTTCATATACATGAACTGGAACCCAGCTAGTGAAAATTCTGCAAACCAGAAATGCGCTCTTGTAAAAATTCCTTATTATTATTATCGACGTACTGTAAATGAAATTACTTTGTTGGACTTGATTTATTTCGGTTTTGCAAACTGATTGCGTTCTGCCTTTAGTACGTGCGTCATTAATGACCTCCGTAATTGAATGTTCAAAGTTCCAGAACTTTAACTTCAAACGCCCAATCACACAGTCCCAATATCCAACACTTTTGGTCAAACAAGATTAAACGGTTTTGGATCAAATTTGGAATAAGTCGACCTGATGTCTTCCAAAGTCATCCAACTTTACAAAACAAATGGTTCAAACAGATCAACAATGTTTGGATACTGTTGGATCGCAATATGTTGTTTTGAACGGACATTGACAAGGGTGTTTGATACTTGCATGACTACGGGGTGTGTGGTAAAATTATGTAAAATATCTTGTTTGAAAGTAGAAAGCTTTCTGTAATTTACACAGTATACAATTACCGAAACCGGCAAGTTGGTCTGCTAGTAATTGTTCCTATTTTTGTTTACTCCTAATGTAACACTTATATACCTGCATGATCTCTCACGAGAACAGTTCGGGACTGGTATAGAGTTACTATAACAACAGTAGCAAGCTGTATAGTTGTATATAGTACCAAGCATAATCATGCAGTAAAATACACCTTTCCGGAAAGTGCTTAGTCTCGTCTATAGCGCCTCGTTTTCGCGACTGGGATATTGGATATTATCTTGTTACAAGTCACGCCTGTTCTGAACTGTTCTCGTGCGAGATCAAGTATATAAGGTTCATCCGTCACTAGTTCACTCTTATTTCAGAAGGAAACAAAAATATAGGAACTACCAGACCAACTTGGTAATTGTACACTGTGCAGATTACAGAAAGCTTTCTACTTTCAAAGAGGATGTTTTTCATAATTTTACCACATGCACACCCCGTATTCAAGTATTACACACCCTTGTCAACGTCGGTTCAAAACAACTTGTTGGTCCAACATTATCCTACAACGTTGCTTGGAACATTGCTGATTTGTTTGAGCAATTTGTTTTGTGATGTTGGGTGACTTTGAAAGACATCAGGTTGACTTATGCCAAATTTTCATCCAACACCGTTTAACCTTGTTTGATCAAAAGTGTTGGATATTGGAACTGGGCCATCGGGCGTTTGAAGTTAAAGTTCTGGCACTTTGAACATTCAATTACGGATGTCACTAATGACGCATCGGTAAAAGGCAGAACGCAATCAGTTTGCAACACAAGTCATACAACAAAGTGATTTCATTTGCCGCACGTCGATTACAATAATAAGGAATTCTTACAAGAACACACTTTTGGTTTCCAGAATTTTCACTAGCTGGACTCCAGTTCTTGTATATGTGAAGATCGAAGAACTCGTGCATCTGCATAGAAATACACTATTCAGGCGTAAATACAACCATACGAGATTATAATAGTAGCTAGGCTACTTCTATGATTCTTCTAAATTAAATAACTCACGTGCACAGTGGTCACAACCGTGCACATAGGAATAACAAGACCGATTGTTTTCTACTTGTTAAAAATATTATTTCTCTTTCTGTTAATGCATGGAAAATGGTAGTAACTATAGCTTGTTATATAGTAAGAATAACTTGTTACCCACCCAAATGTTTTGGGTTTAAACCCCTTAACTCAATAATCAGTGTGGTCACCCTTAGACAGGAATCGCAAGACCATGCACTTATTTCATTCCTCTGGAAAACCAGAAGTAAAATTATGGTATATATCACCATGGTGGATCATTTTTGCGATTAGGAAATTATAACATATTAGGGATATTTGTGTGTGTTGGTGTTATGTACTCAGGTGAATATGATGTTTGTGATGTTACTCTGAGTGTGCATCCACACCGGGCAAGCTGAAAAGTTTGCCTGATCACGGTGGGAATCGAACCCGCGACCTTTGGGATACTAGTCCAATGCTCTGCCAACTGAGCTACGCGGTCAAGTCGGTTAGAATTGATGATATTTCGGAACTGAGTCTAGTTCCTTCGATATCAGTGTAATCTTAGAATACACTGATATCGAAGGAACTAGACTCAGTTCCGAAATATCATCAACTCTAACCGACTTGACCGCGTAGCTCAGTTGGCAGAGCATTGGACTATAGTATCCCTAAAGGTCGCGGATTCGATTCCTACCGTGGCCAAGCAATTAACTTTTCAGCTTGCCAGGTGTGGATGCACACTCAGAGTAACATCACAAACATCATATTAGGGATAGTATATATTTCATGTATTTTGAAGAATATACGTGGTCTATCATTTTTGATCTAGCTATACTCGTATATATAGTACAATCAAAATAGAAAATAGGTCAGAAAAAATTAGTAAAAAGCCAAAAATTAGTGTACGCATGCACTCTCTTCAGCAACCTTGATAACATACTAAAAGTCCTCATGTATCCTCTTGGAGCTTTCTCCATTATGACAAGTTTTTTGTTCGATTTCCCTAGTGAACTCCTATATTGTTAAAAAAGTGAAATTTCAGATTCATTTATAGGAAAAATAAGTTACATCATTAGAAAACTTACAAAAAACTACATACAAGACATTTAAACGGCTACCTTGATTTTGCAAGTTCTTCTTGAGTTATGAGCTGTTGGAAACGTGTTGTCAGACTAGTACCCAGGATTTTTGCCAGATTTTGGCCTATTTGTCACATTTGGAACAGCAATAACTCGAAAACCGCTTGAAAAATTTAGGTGACTGTTTAAATGTCTTATATGTAGTTTTTATGAGCTTTCTAGTGATGCGAGTCATTTTTGTTATGAGTGAACTTGAAATTTCACGTTTTTTAACAATATGGGAGTAATAGGGAAATCGAAAAAACCCTTGTCATAATGGAAAAAGCTCCAAGAGGATACATGGGGACTTTTAGTATATTGTTCAGGATAGTTAAATTATTGCATCTAACAATTTTTAGCTTTTTACTATTTTTTTCCAACCTTGGCCTTAAAATGAGCTAAAATTACTGAACTATTATTT